TATATGGACGTCTGGCTGCTTCTTTCCTCCTCACAAGACAACTCAGTCCTCAACCCACCCTACTTCCCTTCCTGATTAGCACCTTTATGTAGTCCTCCATGCTCTTCCCCATCCTCCATTAAAACTTTTGTCTTTATGTTCATTATATCACCTTTCCTTGAAGTCCCTGTTTCTGCTCTTGTTGGCCTGCAAACATCATCATTCTGATGTGTTTACAATTGATGTTTGCTGCACTTTTGTTTTCTTAGTTTCTATGTTCTCCACTTTCCTGCCCAAGACTTCAGCTGCTCAAGAGGGTACTTATACCTTCACACCTTTTTCTCTTCCCTCCATTTCCCACATTTATGAACATTCTAATCCGGCCTGCCTCCTTTACTTGGGGGCTCTCAAATGGTAAGTGATATGTACTGCTCCCTTTCGTGGTTCCCGAGTCTGTTTATTTCTTCTGTGAAATCCTCACTTTTTTCCCATTACCCTTCTGGGTTAAATTTGGCAGTTAATTCACCTGGCATTTTTTTCCATTTCTCCTGATGATTGTCACTGTTTTCATGTTTTCTTTCCATCAGATCCGTCATTTTACGATGTCCCTGACTGCACATTTCCATTTTCCCTTGGAAACTCTTTATCTGTGGGTGGTAAGTACTTCTTTCATTTTATTTTTCTTTGCAAGGTCCTTTATTGCATATTTGGATCCTGCTCTGTGGCAAGTGTTGCCTGACCAGGTAAACTTAGTCTTAAATCCGCACCGTATAATCTGTGATCATATATCATGCTAGATGACTGTGATGTTGAGGCTCTTCCTACTGTGGACGTGATGTAGAATTCCAGATGCATCCAGGTATTGGTTGATTGACTCTGTCAACATATTCTTTATGCTTTCAAAATACAATGTCATAACACATATCCAGGTCATATTACACCCACTCTTGAGATAGGGTGTTCTGCAGGACTGCTCATACGTATACCTTGCTGTCTTTTGCTTCATAAATATGTTTGTACCACACCATACACTCATGGACAAACATGAGTAAAGCAGACAGTGATTACTGCCCATCTCTGATGATATGTGGCATTTGAGGCTCTTCCTACCATGGACCTGATTTACAATTCCAGACACTGCCAGGAGTTGGTTGATCAACTTCCTTAACATGATTACTCCGCTTTTCAAAATAGGGTATTGTGGTCACCCATTGCAATGTCTCCGGTGCTGTGGTCCTTTGGACTGACCAACGCACATTTTCTCTCCTTCTTCTAGTGGAGTATGGGAGTCCTTGTCACTTACCACTTCCTAGCCACTGGGCTGGTAGAACATGGAGGCCTGTCTCCTGAGTGTGCACAGTACTACTCAGTTGAGAGTAGGGCAGTGGCATTCTGCCAGTGTAGATGGGGTGATGCTTTTCCTACCATGGACCTGATGTACAATTTCAGATGCTGCCAGGAGTTGGATGTAGCACTCTACCATATATTGTAATTTGCCTTTTCTGCTGAGGCACCCTACTTCCTACTATTTGTCGAATGCCAGTTCCCAGAGATTAGGTGTTGGTTGGAGCTGGACCAGCCACATTAAGTCCTCACATATATTTGGATGGTTCCCCTCCTTCTACCTCTGACTGGAAGATAAATTCCAAATGCCCCTAGGTTTTCAACTAGAGATGCACCTCATATAACTGTTTCTCTTCCTACTGTCCACTGGATGTCAGTTCCTGGTGAATCTGGTGTTGGTTGTAGCTGGACAAGACACATGAATTCCTGCAATTGTAATGTTAGTCACTCGTACCTCAGTTCCGCAGTAGGAAGAGCTCTAACTTTCACCTCAGGAACTGGAGCTGGCAGGTAAAAGGAGCTTCTATGCTAAGTACCCTTCTCTGCAGGCACGCACCTCCAACACACCAACACCAGATTCACCAGGAACCAATATCTGGTGGTTGGAGAGCCGAGGTTGGTATACATCCCCAGTCGAAAACCTGGTGGTATTAGTAAGTTTTCATCTAGTCTGTGGTAGGAGGAAATTCCGGAGGTGTTGGTTGAGGTCAAACTCCCCTTTGTAATCTGTCATGTCTTAGCCACTCTACACTATGTGGGTCTCATTATTTCTGTAATTTTTCTTGGGATCCCTCCTATGTTTAAACCCTCTTAGCAATACGTTACTAACAGGTGAAGAGTGTACCTGGCTCATAAATGGTACGATCTCACGTGGGTGTGTTGTTTTCTGTTCCTTCTCACACCCCATGGTTTTCTTTTAGGTGCTTCCTTAAGGGGTATCATCTTCTCACCTGCCCTCCATCTGTTTAGTGCGGGATTCTAGCTTTTTGTGAGTAGATGTAAGTTATCGTATCAGAAGTTAACATTTTCTTAAACTGAAAATGTATTTATGATAGATACTTACCTTCTCTCACATTTCCCACCTGTCCTCCCCACTCAATCTCAAGATGGTTAACAGCTGCAAGATTAGAGAGGGTGCTAGTTATGATAGGGGTAGTGTCACATTCCTGTTGGTAGAGTGTTGCTGCATAATCATTTGCATGTTAGTATGTAGAGATAAGTGGGAGAATCAAGGCTAGGGGCAAGCAAAAATTTGAGTTGATGAAGGGCAGTATATGTCGAGAAAACTATTTGTGAGTGTAGTTAAATATCTATTGGAAATGCATTTTAATTTTTAGAAAATGTTAACTTTGCAGACAACAGTTTTTTGCTGTACAATGAAAACATGCTGATCAGTTTAGGCCTAGTTACAAACAATTTGTTCAAACCCACAAAGTAAATGTGGCATATCTTATGGCATAAGATTTCAGTTACTCACAGATGAAGATTTGCAGAGTCGTTTAGGCAACAGAACTTTGCAGATGACAAGTTTTTGTTGCACAGTGAAAACTTGTTCATTTAGGCTTAATTTACAAACAACATTAGAAATCTTACCGGTATTCTAGGTAAATTTTATACTGAAGTTAAACAGGTACATACTTTATACATTTATTGATATTGTTTAATGATGATGGGCTGCTGTGTTTTTAATATCAAACAAACTCGAAATCGTATTGATTCTTAAAATGAAATCAAAATCTTCAATGAAATATCAAGTTTCAAGATTTGCATGTAGACCCAGGGATGTAGGCTAAATATACTATGTAGCAGAGCTAAGTACTCAAATTTTAGTAAAACTGTAAACAGAAGAAAGGGGAGTAGAAGAAAATAAGTATTGACTGGTGATTTTGGCAGCAAGTGATTTGTTGCCCTCATAAACAGTCATTACTTGTTTGCTGTTGTATGCAGCCACGAAATTGTACAAAGACTTTTGAAAAACAAGTTTTACTACTGTACATATCAATTGGATCTTATTTAACAGTTGTATCTCAGAGCTTAGAGTTTTGCTTTATAATTTGTCTGGCTGGGTATATGGAAGATTGTTTATTAAGTAACTCTTTTAAATTTTTAAATTTATTCTTATATTAAAACACAGTGAACTGTAAATTTTGACTATCATTCTACATGTTTTATATATGTCACTGTACCACAATAAAAAACTTTGTATAGTAAATATTGCCACATACACGGGAAAGTCAATCAAGATTATTATTTTCTGAGGTTTTTTTAAATTAATCATATATTTTCCTTTTCCAGAACATTAGTGGAACTCTTGCTGCTTCTTTTAATGTTCTGTCTATTGCAGGTGAGGTGATAGTGATTACATAAAGTTTAAAATAGTTAAAATTTCTAACTGTATTTTCATAGACATAAAAATTAACTGCAGATTCATAGATGCAATTTATAATCTTTATTTTATTTTGGTGTTCAGAAGTTATTTGTTAACTTTTCTTGTAATCTAAACATATATTAACTGTACTTTTTAACCAGATGTTGCTAATTATTACAAATCAAGTCACTGTTAGATACAGCATTCATTTTATGTATGTTAAACCTATGATGTACTTGGAAAAAATCTGTATTAGAATGTAGAGAATCTGAGAAAGAGTAACCATTAGACTTCTCTAGTAAATAAAGGGTAATACAAAATTTAATTTAAAATTGTTATTTGATAAAAACAATTTGAAAAATTGAAGAGTTCTTGTGCTCTTTAGATATTCTTACTATTTAGATTTAGTGTTCAAAGGATTCTAGAAGAATACCTACTAACCTCTAGCATGTAGACATAGTGAAACTGAAAGTTGAAATATCATTATTAGAGATGAACTAATTCCTCTTCTTTGATGCAATGAAAAAATAAGAATCAACAAGTTATTCTATTACATTTAACATTCCCCCCCCCATAAAAAGTATCAGCTTTTGTTTTTACCCAGTCTTATAGTCTTACGTCTTATCTATCAGTATTTGGCTTATTCAGATAAGTACATAACATTTTATTCAAGAACATTATGTATGACTTTATTCAAAATTTTGCATAACACTATTGTCCTTAAAAGTGAGCAATGGGAACCAGAATGTTGTTTGTGTATCACACATACATCAATATGCACTAGCACAAACACCACTCCAGGGGCAGTTGTATGCACCCTAAGAGCTGCTGTTTGTATTAGTAATTAGTAATCATAATATTCATACCTCATTGTAAAAGATGGTAAAAAAATTAGCATTTTCTAAAAAAGTATTTCTTTCTGGGAAATAATGTTAAGGAAAATTGTTTGGATTGTGCTCTTTAGTCATATGCAACCCATTACATCAAAATGATTCAATGTACAGAGCTCAAAATTTTTGTAACTTTTATGGTATAAACTTTAATATTTTCATATATTAAAAGTGTTACCCTTTATTGAAAAAATAATAGTTTTTTTAGAACTCCAATTTTTTAGTACTACGTTTAAAAATTACATCAATATAGACATAATCAAACCCTCATTTACAGTCCTAGTGAAAGTTGTGTTCTTGTTGTGAGGTGAGTACTTTTATTTAAAATTGTGTTCTGTTATAAAAAGCAGTTGTTGCACGTACCATAGTTATTTTTCTAATTGTCCGATTCATGAATAACCAAAGTGTGAAATGTATTATGGATTTTTGTGTGTAGTGCCATTTAATAGATGGCACCACATTTCATTAGCCTCAATCACTACTTCTGGCATTGAGATCTTGTATTTCAGCACAACAGATGGCAACATTGTATTTATTATTTTGGTTACATACATGCATAGATAGATAGATATTATAGACGGCCATGCCAATGCTCCATTATAGTAAGATTATGAATTTTAGTAGTGAGTGCCAGGAATTTAAATGGTAACGTTTTTATATCAACATATACACGAATATACATTATTGTTCTTAAAAATGAGTGCTTTTATTGATTCACTCTTTCTACATATAAAATATATTGAGAACTATTTCATTTATAACCAAGAGATGATAACATGCATGAGAAATCTTTTAATAAGTGAAAATGTCTTAGTTTTTAATCTTTGCTTTCATTTCCTTATGATCCTACTAATCTGAATGATGACTCTTTTTTTGTTTAATGATTCTCTCATATTAACCTTCTTTTTTCTGCCTGTAGTAGTGCCAGATCTCAGGACAGCAGTTATATACTCTTTTGTCAGTGCAATTTTCATTCTTCTCTTGGCTCTGGATACATATTTTGCCCTTCCTTTAACAGTGAGTTCTAACTTGATTGAATTTTAATACCTTCTGCATTTTGTGGAGACCGTAGAAAAACCATTTAAACAGTTTCTTAACAAATTGGTTTGTTTTTATATTTCTACTTTGATCATTTAAATAGCACCAAAGTCACGGCTGTGTCTGTCTTATTGCAGTCAGCTTAATGAGCTCTGGTATTGTGATATTGAGCAAGAAGGCCTCGTTGACACTGAATATTTCACATATAATGTGATTGACATGTTACATGTTCTTCTTCAAATGAAACAGAAAATTGTTTGTTACACTGTTTGCTCAAGAGTGTGGAGAATAATTACTTCTTGTTGGCCAAACTGTTCGTGTTTTAAATTTAAAACCTAAAAGGTAACAGAAATCATGAAAATATTAATTTAAGAGCTGTTAATTATTTAAAGTTAAAACCCCAAAAAGTAACCAAAATCTTGAAAGTATTAGTATAATATTTTTAAACTTCTAGTTGTTTTATTGCTTATAGCTTGACTTGTGAAAAGCTAAGGTAAGATATACAATAACATTTAGATTAGTCAAATGGTCAAAATTAACAAATTTCAACATGTATTTTCTGGCCAACTCAAGTCTAAGTGCTAAGTTACAATAAAATTTTGAGTAAGTTATTTCATACTTGTATTGAAAACTGTCAGTGTTTAATTCACACTTTTGATATAAGGTTTTTCCACAAGGACTTACAGTTTGTTGAAATAAAAATTAACTTGAAAAGGAAGATTGGCAAGAATATTGGCCAACAGTCAATATTTAAATGAACACCTGGAAAAAGTGGAATTCTTACACCATTTTTCTGTCAATGAAGTCAACAGACACAGAATGAAAGGAGCGTACATTCTGCCTAAAAACATAGGTGTTTTACTCATGCAATTAAGATGATTATTAAAAAAAAACAGAATTTCCTTAAATTCATAAATAGTATTCAACGTTAAACTGGTACACAATTAAAAACATTTTATTTAGACCTATCTATGGCCTTCAAAAAGTTGACGACTCTACATGTTTCGACGTTACAACGTCATCCTCAACTTTTTGAAGGC